TGCCCAAACCTACTAAAGAACTTTTGACTAATAGAAACAGGACTAATAGAAACTTTTACCTAGGACTAATAAAAACTTTTCAAAACACTAACAATTTTAACTAAGCTAAACAGTGAAGAACTTTGGTTACTCATCCTTCACTTGCGCCCTTCCTCTTAGATGACCCAGGCTAAAACCCTTAAAAAAAGTAAGTTATAAAGAAGTATCTAACAATCTACTTGTGTTCTAATTATACCTGAACATTGTGGATTGATTTACTGTTCTCCAACACTTGATCAAAAATCACAACCCCTAGGTAAGATTCAGTAGGTAACTCATAGATTAAATTTTATTCACCAGAAAATAAAAAATCATTCTCACGAATTGATATACCCTCTCTCCAACCCGTCAACCACAACAATCTATGCCCCAAATTGAAATAACCACAGAAACCCTAAGAACTAACAGTTTAACAAAAAACTCTGAACCCAAATATTGCATCCATCATCCTAAACCTCATGTCAAGAGATAATCTAGGCAGTAAGCAAACAATCATATTTCATAATTGTTTAATTAAAATTGAAAGAAAAGACCTTGTAATTACACCACACAGACAAACAATAGGATATTTTAGGTCAAAAAGACAAACACGAAAAAAGACAATTATAACAAAATAAAAGCCAATTATTGAAAGAGGATTTTCAAAACAACGAAACGCGGTCTCAGAGCCAGAAAGAAACACAATACAGAAATTTCAAGACTTAAAAGATTCGATAAAAACAACTAACCCGATAGACGATCAATTATGTTTTTACTCAGAACCTATAACACCATCATCAATAGTTGGAAAACGCAAAATAAAAAGTCATGTATCAACAAACCAATACGACTATATAATTGGAATCAACCAATAAGACATATTGAATGTTACACACTAGCAGTTCTACAATACAAAACATAATCGAAAACAGGGAAAGTTTCGATGATATCTCGATACTCCCATTTTTTTAAAATTAAAATCTTAAATAGATCCCGCCCGAGGACAAGTACAATTTTGTTACAAATTAATTGTAACTTTATTTGAAAAAGGAAATAGCCCACGTAAACAAGATTTTCCTGAAATAAGAACAAAACGACAAATCCTTGATCACTATCTCTAAGATATATCTAATATCATATCACACTACGGTATATTTACAATTGAAATTTTATCACCAAAACTAAATCACATTACCCAACAAATACAAACAAACGATATAGATATAGAATTCTCGAAAGTTTTCACAGACTAGATAAAAAATATACAACACCAAAATTCACAAAGAGCAAATTCAATATTCACAAACGATGTTTTTTCAATCATCTATAGCTATCTATTCAAGCTAGAAATGAAAGAAACACAAAGTGAGGCACCAACTCAAACATCCCGACGCTCAACTGTGAGACAAGAAATCTGTATTTTCTCAAAATTTTTATAAACAATCCGTGAAAACCTCACTAGTAATGAAATCTCACCAAGTGTTAAACATGAGCTACAAAACATACTAGCATGGTTTGTATTTGATTATTTTGTCCATAACATTGATCTCATAGCATTATCAAGAAAAAGTTTTAGACCACAAAATTCAGACGAGGAAACTGTATTAGCAGATGAAACAGATTATGTTTGGTACCCTGATTGGTCTCATCCATTTTTTAATATACCAACTGATATATCAAGTCAAGCAATCACCACCATTTCCATCAATAAAGACTACGTTAGAATAACTTCATTTTGAAGATGCAACAGTTTTAAATTATAATTCACTGTTCACTGACAGAACAGGAAATAATCGCTTAAACTCTACATTCATTAATACACAAGAAAATTTAAATGGAACAAAAAATCTTACACAACAAGATATTCAAACTTCATCACATTTCGCTAATGAAGAAATAGTCGAAACAATGCCAACAACAACGCAACAAAGCATTTCCCCCATTCATCCTACACTTACAACTCCAAAAATAAAAGTACAGCATTTCCGCAAACAACTATACAATCCACAGTAAAACCTTCAGTTATTCCAAAATACTCACAAATGGATTATCGAACATTTAAACCAATAACGCTATCAAGACAAACATATAAACAGAAAACGTCTAATAGAAACAACTTCTCAGATCGTAACTATAACTTTTTTGGAAAATCCAAAACAACAAAATACCGTTATATGAACAGTCAAAGCCAACCTCAAGCACAAAACTATAATCAAAAAGTACCACAACAAGCCTCAAACACAGTATTTTTTAACGATCAACCACAAGCTACAACGGATCGCAGCGAAAATTATCCATTTTCTAGCAAAATAGAAATATGACTAATAAACACCATACAGGGAATCAACCACATTATTCAGAAAATGAAGAATACTATAGTCAAAATGAACAAAGATTCAGTACAAATCAACAGAACAATAATTGGGTTATTGATCAACCAGATCCTATTTATCAACCAGATCTTTTCGAACCAAATACACGAAACGAGCAAACACGACAAACAAAACATAACCCAACGTCATGGAATAATAACTTTCAATCGCAAAATCCTATAACTACACAATCTTATCAATCAACTCAAACGCAAATTGAAATGCAATTACCATATTATTTACGACAAGATGAAATAACAAAAACACAACTTACAAAATTTTCTCAAATACCAAATGCCGCAGAACCACTACAAATGACTATGAATCCATACCTTGATGAGCAGACGAGCGTGACGAGCAGTCGGTATACTTTGTCTGAAATTACTCTATGAGTATAACCAATAGGTAATCAAAAAGTAAAGAAATCAACAAATTAAGACAAATTAAGACAAATTAAGATCATAAACAGGTCAATGCTACATGTCAAGTCTGAAAAACCTGAACAATCAAAGCATTGATTTGGAAAATTGGTTTCAAAACAGTTTCAACTTTTGGTACAAAATATTGCTATCAAAAAAACAGCGAGAAAACAAAAATCAGCAGTTTGAATCAGCAGTTTGATTTTGAAAAGTACCATCTGTCAACGAAAAAAGTTTAATCTGAAAATAATTCCCAAAATAATTTTTTCAAAAGGTTGAAAAGCGTTTCTATGGTTGCTATTGAGAATCAGCTGAACATCCCCCCCACATCTGAAGTGACCTAATGTTGTACATTCTCTCTCAACCGTAATGTAATCGTGAGTACTGAAGACTATTTTTATCTAATATAAAATTCAAGCAAACGCCTAGATTAAATTGGCTACCAATTTTGGGTCATATGATGTTTTGCTGTTCATAGCCTAAACTTAATTTTTAATTATTTGTTTTCTATAATAAAACGGTTATTTGAACCAGCTTATTCTATTCTCAGAGTAAGTTATCAAACTTTTGCCTTGTCCCTCCATCGATCTGCAGGGCTGACTCTACGAATGATCCTGTATTTGGAAAAAAAACTTTCTTAAAATAGACAAAAATTTTTCGTACCCTCCGCAAAAGCCTTCAAATAACCTTTTTTTTCTGACAAGGGTTTTTATTGGTAAACGAGGGTTTGATTAGTTTTCTTAACCTTGAAAGCTTAAAACAAATCAATAGCCTACAATGTATTTTGTCTTTTGAAATTCATTTTATAATTAGCGTAATTCTATCGAGATTTTGAGTTCTTAGACGGGTTTTAAAAAGTTTTTGTTAAACTTTTGGAAATTAACTAATTGAGTGGTGATTTCTGTAGTCTTTTTTGTCGGGGAGTAAAATGAGATATTTTTGAAGGCACCTGCTTTGGAGAGAAAACAAAAAGGAACAATTTGTCTTTATATCTTTGCAAAACTCTATAATGTATGAGGACCTAATAATTTTATAGCGAAATCATTCGATAGTTTCCATCAATTTATATTTTGAACTTTTTACTAAGAATATGTTTAGCTGTTAGAGTAAAAATCTCTCAATTAGTTTTTGGCTTTTTGAGTTCTTGTTCTGAGAAAAACAGCCGGTCGATTTATCTCACGGCAAGAAGCATTTCTATTAAATTGTATATTCCATCTAACGTTTTTTGCAGTTTTGCATTTGTCTAATTCTAAGTTTAATTGTCTAATTCTAAGTTAGTTAAGGTCTTGTTTGAGACTTATGGTCGCATCATATGAGTTATGACCTTTGGTTTGTACTCGTAGAGTACATACAGATAAGGTACACCGTCTATTCGTCACGCTATTTTATTTTCGGCCGGATAGATTCGTACAACTTCTTAGTCTAATACCAATCTTAACCTTACTCTTATATCTCCTAGTCTCAATAGATCTAGTGTATACTGGTTTTTGGCAGTTAGTTCTTGGAGTTTATCCAGAAGGAGAACATTTGTAGTCTAAGATTTATTCAAATTGTTCTGGTGCTGAAACTACAAGTAGTTTCAGCACTTACAAATAAGTGTCAATGTTAGAGATGGAATATTATTGGTTAGTTAGTAATATTTTATAGTGATAGTTTTATCAATAATATTATTGGATATAAATACTAGTTTAGAACCGGTTCCATCATAGTAAGTTTTCAAAAATTTGCTTTGTCCCCCCATCGATCTGCAGGGCTGATTGTACGATTGATCCGCTATTCGGAAAAACTCTTTCTTGAAATAGACAAAAATTGCTCGCATAAGGGCAAAAGCATTCAAGCTGCCTTTTTTGTTTTGAAAGGATACTAGTTGGTAAACGAAAGTTTGCTTAAATTTTTTAACCTTGAGAACCTAAAACAAGCCAATAGCCTGCAATGCATTTTGTCTTTTGATATTCAATTTATCATTAGCGTAGTGCTATCGAGAATTTGAGCTCTTGGACGGGGTTTTAAAAAATTTAATTAAGTTTTTGGACATTAACTAATTGAGTGGTGATTTCTGCAGTCCTTTTTGTCGGGGAGTAAAATGAGATCTTTTTGACGGCACCTGCTTTAGAGAGTGGACAAAAAAGAACAATTTGGCTTTATAACTTTGCAAGACTCCATAATGTATGAGGAACTAATAATTTCTCCATCAATTTATATTTTGAATTATTTACTAAGAATAAATATGTTTAGCTGTTAGAGTAAAAATCTCTCAATTAGTTTTTGGCTTTTTGAGTTCTTGCTCTGAGAAAAAGAGCCAGTCGATTAATCTCACGGCAAGAAGCATGACTAGTTTGATTAAGTAAAGTAGAATGGTCAGAGCTGCAATCAGCACCATCAGCACATGTGTCAGAGCTTGATTCCACGACCAAATTAAACTCTCCGAAGGATCAAACTTGGAAGAACCTCCTTTCGAAATCAATGAGTCAACCAAGTTCTCCAACTTCTGAACCGACTCCCTGGACATTTGTTTGTATACATTTTGTACATTTTTTGTGTATTGATTCAAGTTTCTGTGCAGTTTTTCGATCCCTTCTCTTAAAGATGGTTCGTTTGGAGTTCGGCCAATTTCTAAGCCTAAACCGGCACTGGCAACCCGAGCCGAGAGGTAGAATTGATCTCTGCCTTGGGGTGCTCCCAAGAAAGCAACACCGGCAGATAAACCCTCTATGACTGAGCTAATGCCACAATGCGAAAGAAACGCTCGCCTAAAACGCCAAAAGGAAAAATTATACTCAGCAGTTATTTGATGGTAGTTCTTGACAGGTCTTATTGTCAGCTCTAACTTCTTTCATTATACGCTTTTTCAAAGTGAGTGAGCACAGGGGCGGATTAAGGGGGGGGGGGTGGGGGGCGTTTGCTTCTTTTTTCAGGGATTCGATCCTCTGCCGACCCAAAGGGTCCCCTTTGGTACTTTTTAAGAAATCCATTTTTGGCCGACAGACCCTTAAATTTTTCTAAAAGCTCCTTTGGCGCTAATATATACTAACTTTGAGGGGGAGCGCGCGCCAAAAAAACGCGATTTTTTTTTGTCAAAACTTTCCAAAAAGTGCCCAAAAACGGTTTTTTGACCTGTTTTTCAAAAATTTGTCTGCCGCGCTGAAAATTTGGCCAAAACAGCGTCTATTTAGTGCTTTAGGAGAGCTCGGAAAATTAATCGACCTAAAAAAAAATGTCGTTTTGAAAATCCGCCCCCCTCGAGAAAACCCTACCTAGATCCGCCCCTGAGTGAGCACACTAAAATTTTTTAAAAAGATCTATGAAAATCAATTTAAAAATAGTGGATCTACTTTTTCAAACAAAGACAACTTCTGCAAAAGAACCTTTGCGCTAAGAAAGCTCTGAAGTTTCAGATATAAATCAAACTGATTCAATAAGTTGATTGTTTTAATTTTACTTACACTTTTTCGTGTTTGAGAACGAACTTTTGAGGTACTTTTTTCAGAATGATCATTTTCGTTCTGTCTTTAATGGGATGACGTGTTGTGCTGTACTTTCTATGAGACCACACGACATTGAAGAGCTCCTGGGACTCGAGAAAGTTCTTGACACGCTCAAATGTTTGGTCTGAGAAGACGAAGTAGGTTCCCATTGATACATAAAGCACTGGCTTTGGGCTTTGCTCGAGGAAGTCTTTCAACTCATCTGGCACTCGCATTGTTTCGGGGGGAGATGGCAGGAGTCCAGTGAGTGTGAACTTGTTCGGAGGTACATCGAACATCTGAGAGATGGGTTCGCCTATAACAAGCGTGAATACGGGGATATTGATAGCATTTAACTCCGCGCTAGGGTCTTAACTGAATTTTGTTTCATGGCTAAAAAGAGCCTAAATTTTTCATTTTTTCAATGATAGAAAACCCGCATAGCTAGTGGTGGCGAATACAGATGGCTTTAAATTCACTCGAAACTTTGTTAAGTCCAATGATCTTTGCAATAAAGATTTTAAATTGGTATGCAACGCTCACCGACAGCTGAAAACGAAGGAAACGAACTAATGACATGTTCATAGTTGTCATAGGAGTCGTTGAGACCCATTTCGCGTCTAATCTTCTCAAACACAGCTGCACCAGGTTTGCAAAAGTAGTCGGATAACAAAATCTCAACGCTGAAAAAAACTGTCGCGACCAATCTCTGAATAAACATAGGGGTCGTTTTGGGGTCTACATGTTGGAAGGCACCAACTGAAATATCTGAACCTCCTAGCCACGTGACAATGTGGGATATCCCAGGTGTGTAGTGAAACAGAAGGGGGATATTTTGTGTTTCAGCAACAATTGAAGCTCCGACGCTGAAGGACTCCGCGATGATCAGATCAGGTTTGTCTTCTTTAGCCAATGACTGCATGGCTCTATACGGGTGAATCACTGATCCTAAGGCGTATAACAACTCACATTGAATGTTTTTCATTCTAGCTTTGCTTCTCAAAGATTTCACCCAAAATTCAAATTGGGAAGTTTCATAATTCAAATGAAGTGCTTTCAGCCGAGCGCTAAGCAAAATGTCTCAAAGCAAAACAGTTCAATCCGGTGGAAGATATTTTTCGAGAGTTGTCAGGGTTTTGAGTTTTAAACACAAGCCCATAAATTGGGGATTCTATTGTCTGTCCAAAGCGAAGCGCTTATATTCAAACACTAACCGACGGTGATGTTTTCGTAGTATTCAGCTGTTGAAATACTGGTGTCGTAGTTCGGATGCAACCACAAACCCGAGTCATGGTGAACGACATCGGATCCCAGATTCTCCACTGTCTTCTTGCACTCGGACCCCGTTACAAAGGTGACTCGGTACTTTCCCGCTGTCGTCTTGCGAAGCAGCGCATAGGCGGTAGGAATGACTATATACAAGTGAGAATCACATCCTGATACGATAGCAACGTGTTTGCTTATTTGCGTCTTAACTTCGTTAGAAGACACCAAAGCTGAAAGTGCCAACAGTACAGAAACGAGGACAAAATGTCGCATTTTAGGAGGTGCTCGAAATTTATCAAAATTAAACTAGTCCAATCTACTAGTCCTCAATGAATTTTTTTTCTGGCATGGAAACAAGCCTTTCAGATAATTATTTGGAAATATCAACCCTTGTTGATTAGTCAAATATGAGAGAGCACAATCACTACAAAACCTGGCTAACAAACGGTTCAACAGTACAAATTAGGCTACTCAAGCTATCAATAAAAGAGTTTGCACCCAGTTTGATGTTCGCCAAATAGTTCAAGTGTTCCAAAGTCCGATTTCTTTACTTTTCAATTGCAACTCTGCAGTTTGCCAAGTTACTATAATTTGAACCAGAATTTGCAAAAAGCACAATATTAACTTCAATCTATATCCACTATATCATACCCGGGTCGAGATCCACGACTTAAAAAAAAGACCAGCGCAACCCAAGATTAATTCGGAGATCGTATCGTATAATAATTCTGAGATCGTAAAAGAATGGAAAACAAAAAACTAAAAGAAACAGAAAAAAAATCTACGAATTTTTTTGGAGACATGAATCATAATCCAGTTAGACTATAATTCATGTCTCCAAAAAATTGTTTAGATTCTTTCTGTTTCTTGTAATTTTTTTGTTTTCTATTCTTTTACGATCTCAGAACTATTATAAGATACGGTCTCCGAACTATTATAAATTTGAAGTAAAAAAGAACGCGGCATCGTGGATCGAGAAGTACTGACGACCCAAAACACTGACAGTGATTAGGCAGACTAATCAACTAGTGGGTGGTCAATCATCATTTTAGACACGGAATACTGATAATTAGTTAGAAATTATGTTTACTATTTTATGTGCTTTTTAAAACTTTTTTTCTTAACGATTATTATATACGATCCCCATTTATAGGTAGGTTTTTAAAATTGTTTTGGCAGAAATGAGTTTTTGATATAATAAGGTGAGCGAGCACTGCTCTGTATCTTGATTTCAAATACAGATCTGTAGTTTCCATCGAAGAATTTCCATAATTTGCTAGTGTACCAAATTCACATACCAAAAAGGAATCGAACGATCTATTTTTTTAAAATTCAATTAGTCCAGCTGCATTGTTCAGATATTAGTATTATTTAACAAATGATATAGCTTTTTCAAAGTTTTTTTTCATGCTTCACGCTTTTTTTTTCCGCTCATAATGATTTCAACTAATCACATATTTTTCTTCCAGTATCTCAGAGAGATGCTTTAAGAACTTGCAATGAACTTAAGGATTGGTTTTGAAGTTTCAATCAGCAAAATGCCAGCCAACTAGCCAGTTTTTTAGGGGTCTTGACTTGTTTACAAATCAGTCATGATGATAGCACGGTAATGCAATTATAAGGAAGTCTAGTTTAGCATTACATCTAGCTGTTCAAATTGTTTAGGCCATTTAAAGGAAAGTCTATTCCATCAATTAAGTCCCTAACCCCAAAAGATAAACACGTGTTTGTCTGAACTCAAGGAGCATTTAATTGATCGTTACGAGCGCAGCTGCCTTGTTGCTTCGGCTGTGTAGAGCCAGTTTGTGACAACTGTAGCTGCGGAACGCATAATGCAACCTTCGAAGAGGAGAAATACTCATGGTTTCGCCTTGTCCAGAAAACTTAGGGCAATCTAGAAAACATAAGGCAATCTTTGACAAATGCAAACATCGTCACCGCAACAGATAAATATCGGTAAATGCAGATAACATCATCATCACAACAGAAAGGAAACTTGACGAGATCGTTGCCGTCGACGCACTCCAGATAAATGGTTTTTATTTAATATCCCGCCTAGACCGTATGGACAATGGTGGTGGCTAGCAGTTTGGGTGAAAAATAGTTTCATCAGCGTGCAACTCGAATCAATTGAAAGCTCCGAAGCTGTATGATTCGTTGTTACTACGGTGCATTCGTGCTTGCTATAGACCACCGGCATTTAGAGCTGTCAACACCTTCATTGAAAAATCTTATCCAGGCATGTGTAATTTCTCCCCTCTTGCCATTTTTCTTGCAGGAGACTCTAATCAGCGTTCACAGACTGATTTAGACACGGTTACGCAAGATTACGGCCTCACACAACACGTACGCGATCCAACGCTCCTGACCTTGTTTTTTTAGTCTTGCACATCCGATCATCAAGCAATTCCAGCCACTGCTAACCTAGACATAGCTTCGGACCCCTCACCAGCTTCCCGGAGAAAATGTGACAACAGGCAAACTGATTGAAAGTCCATGCGTCAGTGAATTCTGAAGCACCCAAAAAGAACTGGCTCAAATCTGGAACTGCGGACAAGTCCTGCAAACACCTGGAGAAGACCTCCCTAAGCTAAGTAGTAAGCCTGTATCCAATTTTCAAGAACCTTGACATATGTAAGACTGGATGACGATGCTAAAACAAGGGATGCTAAAATTGAGAAAAAGATCCAACTTTGTTGCCATCTACAAAAAGAATGCGAAACCAGACTAACAAATTTTTGTTCGATAGCCTTTTGGGAAAAACCTTCGCGCCTTTTCGAGAAAAAAATACCCAAACATTTTTGGGTCATTGTAGAGGCACTAAAAACCTCCCCGACGATCAAGCAGCCTTTCAAAGAGGATGTCTCAGCAGTTGGCAGAAGTGAAACTTGCTACAGACTTGTTAAAAAGTTAGGATACCACTCGTAGTTGTACAAGAGTGTACTTAAACTAAGAATAGATTAAGATTACGGATGATTAAGATTCCTACTAAAAACTGTAGGCTTTTATTTAAGACTAAATAAAAGACGGTGATGCTAACTAAAGTAAGAGAGGTTTAAAAGATTGAATTGGTTTCGGTTTATTTGTTACGTATCATAAAAGATAGTGGCCAATTCCGAGTCTACCAAAAGCCGTTGCGCTTTTGGCAGGTGTATAAATTAACAACTTAAAGGTCAACGATCAGTAAAGATCAAAGGTTAAATGAACAAACAATAATACTTTTACATTCCCCGCGAAAATTTATCTATAATCTATCCCTTTCGCCTCACAAGAGGAGAACAAAACAAAAATAATTAAGCGCTAGAATGAATGACTAAGTAGGCGCATTGTCTAGGACCCCCGAGAGTGGATCTAGAACAGTAGGAACACAGACTTGGTAAAGCACGGAGGGCCAAGAAAGCGTATTGTATACTAAGTAAAATTACACGGTTGTCAGGTCGAAAGAGCGGGTGTACGGTACGGAAAAGACCGATGAACGGGCCCGGTGGGCCGGAAAGCATGTTCTTCAGCCATAACAAAAATTCAAAAACAAAGCACCTTAGATCGAATAGTATGTTTTCGTCGGGTGAAATAAATATAGACTGGTTACTATGGGCGAGCAAGAAACTGGAATAGCACCAGGGTAAATTGAGCAGTAAGGTAGGCAGGGATTTATCCTTAGAATTTTCAAAATAAGTGGGTAATACTAGGATGGATAAATCTAATGGTTATCCGGTGGTAGCGCCCAATGGGTGAAAAGAATTTTATCGACATTTCGGCGAAATTATATGGCTAAAGCAAGGTTATAAGTGTGACCAATCAACTTATTGGCTTAATATGACAGCACTGAAAGTTTGTATGACTCTATGGCAATGGAATGTTAATAGCATTCGGCAATAAACAAGATACTAAAGGTACTAAAAGTTTTGTAAAGAAGTTTTTGAGAGTTCATGAACGTTTATGATAACATCTGGATTGGAGCTCCTACATCTAATTAGTTTCCCGATTTGCTGCCTTGTTTATTGTCCATCTCCTTAACTCCTCCAGCGTCATTGGCCGTCCAAGGAGTTCTATCGCCGAAATGATAGAAGAGGTGTTCAGCCAGTCTGGGTCAGGTACAATGGGGACAAATGTAGAAGTTGAGGTTTCATAAGATAGGCCCGATGGGTTAAATTTCGTGGAACAGACATCAGGACTAAATTTGACTTTCTTTTCGGGGGTCTTTTGATCATCTGTTTTCGAGGGCTTCGGGTCACTTGGGTACGCATAGTTTTCTTCCCGCAAGTGAACTATAGTAGGACGCGATGATGAAGGTGGTGTTAATGTTGTCAGGTCTACTAGGTCGACATGATGGCTTTCCATTTCTACGGCAGTTGCTTCTAACGTTGAGCATGCTGGGACTAAACTAGGTGAACCAAATTCTGGAGCATCACGATCTTCATCAGTTAAATCAACTACACTGGTAAACACTCTCTCACCTAGCATCTTGGGAGGCTGCCTAGTTCGCATAGGTCTGGTGTTCTGACGTGTAAAAATTTCTGACAATTTTTTCGAGGGTGGTGATTTCATTGGTGATGACGCCTTTCTTTTAGCGGTACCGGACAATTTCTGTGTTTTCGTGGTACGGTCAGAGTGTATTTGTTTGGATTCCGTCCCCGCCATGGCGATTGGTTCTTCAGTAGACTTGGAAAACTCTCCTCCGGGATTCTCTGGAAGAAACGGCATTTTTTGACTCGCTTTATTGGCCTCCTCCATAGTGTCCAAGAGAATCAACTGTGGGATCGCTTGTGAGTCTCTTTCATTATCGCTAGAATCCAAGTCGATCAAAGGAATCGGATCTAAATCGACCTTCTGATCAACGTGGTCTGATATTTCTAGCTTAGGATCTGTTCGTTCGGAGATTAGGTGTTCGTCTGATTTTGTAGCTTCGAGTAATGCTTTATCCTTGAGGTCTTTTAGTGAAATTAAGTCGCTAGCATTGTCGTCTGAAATCTCTTCATGTGGTTCGATCATCACTCCGGGTTCATTTAAACGACTTTTATGAAGGTCAGCTTTGCCCGACGGGCTTGATTCTTGGTCACTTTCGAGGCCTATCGGGGTTCTCAGTCTCTTTCTCTGGTCTTCTTCCTCTCTAAGAAGAGTTTCCCTCGAGCTGTTCATGGCCGCGTTTCGTCTCGCAATATCAAGTTCTTCGAATTTCTACTGAAGATTTCTTTTCTTTTGGGTTGTTCTTGAGCTTTTAAATCCGACATTTCTTGGTGGTTTTGCAGTTTTCCTCAATCCTTTAGTCGCATAAAATCTAACCAGTTGGTCTCGTTTTCTTGGACTTGGTTTCTTCTGGGTGCACTGTCTTTTAATGGCTAAATCAGATTTACGTATTATTTTACCATTTTTTAAAGTCACAGTGTGATCTGATTCCCTTACGATTTCGTCCTTGAGTACTCTATAGTATGGTTCATTTTCGTTCTATCTTGGATTTTTCGATAAACAATGGTCTTACCCGACGGGTTGTTCAGAATTGAGTCCTTTATGCCCAAGGCATCTCTTTTTT